ATAACTCAATCAGAAATATGCAAACATTATGAATAGACACATCTCAGAAGAAAGTCTAAATGACCAAAAAAGTTTTAAAAAAGTGATTGAATTTCATTAGTTTTCTTCTCATGGAAATGTAAGTCAAAGCCTCACTGAAACATAATCTCAACTCAGCTAGAATGTCTGTTATAAAGAATACAAGTGCTACTGAGAAGAGAGGTAGGTACTGCTCAAACAATTTTGTTGGGGATGCAGATATAACACAAAGTTTGTGGGGAAAGTGTGAAGCTTCCAAGAGACTGAATCTACTGCAAGGCACAGCTATCCCACTTCTGGGTATATATTAAAGGAAAAATGACATAAGCATAGCAAAGAAAAGCCTGTGTGTCTATGCCTGCTACTTAACTACACTCGGTATATAGACTTTAGAATCACCCTAGGTGCCTATCCACAGAATAGTGGATAGAGAAAATGTGTTTCATTGCACAACAGACGCTTCCATAGACATTTAAGGAAATGGTATTCTACCACAAAGCAAAACTGAGGGACTTAAAAGACTTTATAGTAAATTAAATAAAGTTAGATAGGGAAAGAAAAGTAATGGTGTTCTCGGATATGAATGCTCTAGATACAGTAGAGTGGGATTTATGGTAGCGATTACCAGTTGATGCAGTAGGCAGGGGTTGGCAACAGGAGGCCTGCATGCAGGACCATAAATTGGACAGACAGAAGTAACACATTAGGTATTCTTTCCAAGTGTGTGTGTGTATGTGTGTGTGTGTATGTGTGCGTGTGTGCATGAGAGAGAATTGTGATTTTGCTTATTTTCTAGATAACAGAAGAGTAAACTCGAAGGTTCTACACACAGTAATGAGATTGAAAATCAACCATAGCTTATTACTTAGATTTGACACTATAAATTGTATACACATATTGAAACATCACACTAATACCCACAAATATGTATGTCTAAAGTCATCCTAAATACACAAGGAAAACTGTTACTGTGGAACTGGGAGGAATGAACATCAAAAGCTAAAATAATGCATGAAAGACAGAATGTAGCATCAAACAATACAGATGCACAAAGAAACCTGACCTGTGGGGAAGAGAATGAAGAATGCACAAAGAGAGATAGATGTGACCATAGAGTCCAAGACCAAGGAATGCAGAGGCATATATACAAAACCACTGAGGCCAAGACCAAGTAGGCTTCATCTGGAAAAGCAGCAGTTTTATAAAAACATTTATCATGTCATATTATATATACATATATATATGTATATATATGTGTGTATGTATGTATATATATAAACATATATATATCACCTGCATTCTAATTGTATTTATCTGAATTCATTTTTCTGCTTTATTGGCCAAAACATTGATTATTTTTCAGATCTTAGTATCTTGGTATGTCTAAAATACAGGAAAATTGTGTCTAGTAAAACATTTCTGTCGCAGTTTTATTCTCTTTAATGTTGCAAATGAGTGCAAATCCAATGGTCATAGCAAGGAGCTTGGCAGTCATGATTATCAGCACTGTCTGGCTGTAAAACACATTCACATTGTTTATTATGGCTCATTATATTCATAAAAAGGAATGAACCAAATTATTTGGCAACGACTCCAAGAATTATATTCCTGGCAAATATTCCATGTTTAGTTTGGTTTTCATTCACAATAATTAGATCCTTTATAATTGTGTATGTTTTACCAGTATTTACATCTTGAATAGAGTATATTCTAAATACACTGGGCAGCATCTTAGTAAATGTAGTCTCAATGTGATCAACAGGTACTCCAACTTTGTTCAAATGAATTGTTCTGCATTGGTTAGTGGAAAATGTTAACAAGGGATATTGTTAAGAATAGTCACTGGCTGCTGGGTGGTGGTGGTGCATGCCTTTAATCCCAGCACTCGGGAGGCAGAGGCAGGCAGATCTCTGAGAGTGTGAGGCCAGCTTGTTCTATAGAGATAGTTCCAGGATAGTTAGGGCTACACAGAGAAGACCTTCACCCCACATTGACACTTCAGACCCATGTGGAAGCAATAGCCATATTCTTTCATGCCTAGTTTGACAAAGAACCCTAATCTTTGCCAACCACTCACTCTCTAGGCCCCGACAGAAGCCACATCTCCACAATCATGAGTCCTTGCTGAATCTCAGTTACAATCAAGGGTTTCAGCAAAGCGTCCAAATTCAACATCAACTTATAAAAACCTGTAGCCTTTTTGTGTATCAATAACAAATACCTTGGGAAAAAGAGACCATGGGAACACTTTCACTTAACAATAGCTTCACAACATACTTATGAATAACCATAATCAATGAGCTGAAAGGCATTGATGATAAAACATTTAAGTCTCTGAGGACAGATTGAGGAAGATACAACAAGTGCAGACTGCCAGTGCTTATGGATTGGTAGAATGATGTGAAAATGATCTTCTTGCCAAAATAAATTTAAAGATTCAATGTAGTCAAAATTAATGCATATAATATTCTTCAAGGAAATAAGAAAAATACTTTAGAATTTATATGGAAGAACAAAAGGCCCCAGAGGACTATAGAACCTTGGGCAAAAAGAATGGTCCTGGGAGTGACTGCCACACCAGATAACAAGCTATATTAAGAAATTATAGTAGTAAACACAATGTGGTACCATAAAAAATACAGGAAAGTAAAATGATGTAATAAAAAAATGGAAGATAAAAACCTGAGTTCCCTTAACTACATTCATCTCATGTTATATAAAGATGTCAAAAATAGCATCTTTAACCAGTTCTGGGAAAACTGGATGTCCCGTTGTAGAAGAACAAAATTAAACCCATATCATTGACCAAGGCAAAAATCACCCTAAAATGGATCAAAAACTCCAGTGTGAAACTTTAAATGCTAAAACTTCTGGAAGAAAACATAGGCACTACCCTAGAAGGTAAAGCAATAGAAAAGGACTTTCTGAATAGGGCTCCAATTTTTTTTTCAGGAAATAAGGACACAAGTTGCCAAATGATGCCATTTATAAAAAGAGAAACAAAACTAAAAATCAAGCATGTGAAGAAGCCCATAGAATGCACCTATTCATGTGATAGAAGATTAGTTTCTAGAAAGAACAAAAATAATCAAGAGAGAAAATACCATAATTAAAAAATGGGCATGGATATCAACAGAAAATTCTAACAAGAAGAAATAGAAATTGATGAGGAATATCTGGAAGAGTTTCAGCATCTTTAGCAATTGAGGAAATTCACATTAATTGCAATTTCATCTTATGCCAGTCAAAATGGCTCAGATCAACGAAACAACAGACAGCAAATGCCTGTGAGTGTACAGACAAAAGAGAGTCCCCATTCACTGTAGATGGGAGTGCAAACTAGTCCAGGGACTACAGAAATCAGTGTGAGTGTGAATGTGTGTGTGTGTTTGTGTAGAGCATCTCAATAAACTAAAGATAGATTAAGGTATGATCCATCTACACCTCCGTTTGGCCTACACATACAGGACTCAACATCCTAGTTAAAATACTTGCTGTATTCACAATTGCTAGAAAATGAAAATGTCGTTGACTGATGAGTGGTTCGTATACACGATTGCATTCTATTAAATTGTAAAGAGAATGAAAGCATGAATTCTCAGGTATAAAGATGGGACTGGAAATTATTACAGTGAAATACCTCAGGCTCAGAAAGACAAAGGCTGCATGTTCTCTTATGTGTGGATGTGGATCTTTGTTCTCAGTCTTTAAGTGTGCATCTATAACATTAAGTCATCTCAGAAGCCAACAAAGTAGAAAGAGGGCATAGGTGAGAGGGAAGAAGGAGCTCTAAGGGGTTCAGGGAATATAGTAGGATTCAGGTAGTATGAAGAGGAAAGGAAGAAAATGGGAAGGGAGTTTAACTAGGGAAGAGGGAGAGAGAAATCATGCTCAGGATGTTTGAAAATTCCATGGGGATACATATCAGTTTTTATCTAGGAGTGGAATGGAAGCCTTGGTTTATGTCACTAACTGCTCATCAGTAATAGTTTGTGAAACCCTCAGTACAGGAGAGCTTGTAGGAAGACTGTAGATAGAAAGACTTCCACTGTGATAAGTGCAGCCCTAAAAGCAGTGTTGTAGGTAAGGGTGGTAATTCCCAGGGATCCGAGAACCAAATATCCTGAAGTAAATGGTGAACCGAGTTAAACAGCAAGTAGAGAGAGCTATTATGGACTGCATGTGGGATCTATGTAGGATAAAGGGGTCCCAGCATCTTCCTGGGATGTGGGTCATGAAACCCCACAGCAATGCCCAACAGCTATCTCTCCTTTAGCTCTGCAGACTCCAGGTTTGGATTTTGTATTCTGAGCAGGGAACAGGTCTCTGCACTGCTTCCATTTCCCTAGGGTCCTGTGTACTCCCCTACCTTCTTTGTCACCAAGAAAGATGGGGATACTTGTGGTTGAGTTGAAGTGCCAATCTTTTCAATACTTTGTCAGTGTTTTCAGAAATGATGGATTGGATGACTTTGGCAGCTCAGCTGTTCTTTATAAAATGCTTCTGCCACACTGTCTGACAATGACTGAATGAGGATGTTGTCAGGACTCTGGTTTACCTTTGGCTTTTATCAGTCTTATAAACATGATACTCAACCTCCCCCTTCAAATTCTAACTGTGCTAGCACCTAAATGAGATGGCATACACCAACTTCTACACCTCACTAGACAAAAGGCAAATGATAGTCTCACTTTCACATTGTTGTAAAAGAAATGAGGTTCTGTGTGGTAACCCTACTGGGCCAGAGTTATCATCTTTCTATTATTTGCAGTCTGTTCTTTAGTTCAGAACTAGGACAAAATTCTTGAGTATTAAACTGGTTCTCTCAGATACGGATACCTCCTTCCTTTCTCATTGTTATGTCAAGGAGTTTCTTTTCTTCCTATGTCTAAAAAATAAATTCTAATTATAGGGATAAAGTTTACTATTATAGAGGTAGTACACATAGACATTTAAATGATGAGAAAAATAAAGCTACTGACGTCTCTATCCAGAACTCTTCCGGTACTGTTCAGGAAAAGCATTTGTTTAACGGGGTCCAACAACACCCAGTAGTCCACGTTGTCCTTCAAAGAGAGCTCTATGGTAGGGTCTGGTCCTCCAGCAGTCCCCTTAATCAACATGTTGTCCACCAGAATTGTACCTGCAAGCCAAACACAGCTATTTATAACCACACTTTACTCAAAAGCATTCTTTAACAAGGATTATGCTTTTAAATCCAGCTGCCTCACACATTTCTCCCAAGGCAGATCACATTGAATATTGCACTGAGCATCACAAAGGTATTTTTCTTGGCCCCCCAGAGCTGCAAATATCTTCCTTCATTATGCTATTTGTCAGTGGTGTTTGGGGAAGATGCAGGTGGGGTGGGAGTAATTCTAGACACTTGCAAAATACCACCTCATTTCTCTTTAGCAGCACTGAATTTTCCCTATACCCTGTCCATCACTTATCTCAGGATTTATCACTGAATTTTTTATCCTGAACAAAGGAAACAACTGTAACAGGAGAGCAGGATAGCAAATCCACTCAGTGAGGCTTCCGATATGAAAAGAGAGATCTTGAAAATGAGAGAAGAGGAAGGGGGAGAAACGAAAGGAGCAGCAAGATTTCCTACTATGAGGAGTGCCTCTTGCTCTTACATGTCAGAGTAAATTCATAAAACACAAATCTTAATAATATCTCCTAGACACACAGCAATAGCCGCTCATCTCTAAGATATGTCTGGGGCGTTCAACTGTAGTGATAAACTCTTATGATTTTACATTTTAAACTTGGCTTCTTCTTTTATTTTAAAAAAGCAGTTATTGAATAAATATGGAAAAGAGATCAAGCCTCTAATATTTCTTCTCTGCAAAAGATTCCATGTAGTTTACAAGTGGAAAATGATCAGCAGTGATGCAACTCAAACTTATTTTTCCCCACACAGTAATGATCTTCCTGCTAATCATGAGTGGATTATGGCTTGGAGTAGTCACTTACTGATATATAATACCTTGTGAACAGCATATAAAAACATTATTATGAAAATAAAGATGAGCTCTTCTAAACACTAGAAGAAAATGGAGAGATTACTCCTTGCCTTAGGACAGGACACAGATCATATGTAATTCATAAATAAGAAACTAGGCTTGAAAAATATAATGTCAAATTTATCAGTCATATGGTAGAAAGGCAGGAGAATGGCTTAAATATTATACCATTATATAGTTTGCAAATAATAAGTTTGCATCATGATTTGATTTTCCCCATACTTTATTAATATTAAGGTGGAATATACAACATTTCCTAACAACATTCTATTGGTATGTTTTATTTGCCTAGGAAATTTTGAAAGAGCTGCTTTATTTTGTAGGTAAATCTGTTTTGTTGATGTACATGTTCTTCACACATCCCTAAATTCTAGATATGATCTTCTCTTTCTCACTCTGCAGAATTGTGACAATAATTGGCATGAATTTCTACCCCAAACCATATGTTTATCAATGAAGAACATTTGTGTCTTTGCATCTGCACACCAGCAAGAGCTGAGATAACCACAGAAGGTGCTCTCACATGGTTAAGATTGTAGTGATGTTAGCACTGAGAATGACGGCAAGCCCTCTCTTTTGGCCTTGAATACTACGGTGTGTGCTTCTGATTTGAAAACTAGGTGCTGAGGATGTTTTTTATCTTTAAACAGATGTATTTAATTTCTTTTTTAAAAGTATATATTCATTTATTCTTTCCCCAGAAGTTAAATGTTTTCAATCATACTTAAGAGGATAGACTGTTTGCTAACAAATAATTGAATTTATGAGATAAAATCTTGAGGACAGAATGGCATTGATTTCTTTTTCTTTTACTCTTGTCATATCAGGGTTGGACAATGATTTTTTGTTAACCTTCTTTTCATACATAGTGTGTTTATTCCACTATTGAAAATATATGTTTCATACAATATATTCTGAATATGGTTTCCTCTCCCCTAACTCCTTCCACATCTTCCTCACATCCTCATTCAAAGTCAAAGTTTTCTCTCTCTCCTTAGAAAAGAAACAGTCAACTAAACAATAATGAAATACAATAAAAACAAAAAAAAACTTGAATAGGACAATACAAACAAACAGAAGAGAAAGAGCCAAACAGAAATCTCAAGAAACACATACAGACACAGAGAGATACACATGTTCACACACAGGGTAATTATATTAAAACACAAACTAGAAACCATAATTTATACTCTGAAGACCTGTAAGGTAAATAATAATAATAATAAAAATAACAATACAAAACAATAACAGCACAATAATAATAAAGTCCTTTCAAAGCACTATGAGACAAAAACTTCCAAAAAGGCTGTAGAGTTCATTTTGTGTTGGCCGTCTACTACTAGGCATGGGGCCAGCCCTTAGTTTTGCAATCTAGTGAGACTACATCCAAGTCTTTCCTTTGCAAATTTTCCTTTGCAAGTGGTTACCATTTGAAAACAACTTCAGGGGTAGATATGGGAGTATGAGTCCTCTTTGCTTCTCATTGCTGCAACCCTGTCTGACTTAGAACCCTACAAGCCCAGTGCTTATGGCTATGGTTGCTATGAGTTCATATGTATACCAGCCCTTGTGTTTGGAAGGTCTCCTTTCCTTGGTATCATCTATTCCCTCTGACTGTTACACTCTTTCCACCTCCTCTTCTGCACTGTTCCCTCAGCCCTGAGGGGAGAGATTTAATGGAGTCATCCTGTTTTGGATGGGCGGTTCCAAGGTCTTTCACCTCCTGCACATTGTGCAGCTGAGGGTCTTTGTATTTATTCCCATCTCCTACAGGAACCAGCTTCTCTGATGATGGCTGAGCAAGACCCTAATGAGTATAGCAGAATGTCATTAGGAGTCATTTAATTGCTACATTCCTTTAGCAGAACAATAGTACTTTGTTTTCTGCTAGATCCCTGACCTATCCAGTCTCAAGTTCTGGGCCACCCAAGCTTTTCATGGTGTGGTCCTTACATTCAATACAATATTGGTTGGTTACTCCTACAAGCTCTGTGGCACCATTGTACCAGTTTATCTCACAGGCAGGTTACCATTGTAGATTGAAGGGGTTGTAGCTGGATTGATTCTCCAATGGTAGAATGCAAAGTACAACAATCATTACTCAGTAGGGGTGCAAGGCTCAACTTCTCCATGTTCAGTGACTCCTGTAGGCATTGTCTTCAGCAACAGGGCCTTATTATCTGTTTGTGGAGAGAAACTAGTAGCCTGGGCAATAGTATGGATTGTGTAGGGATTACCACGGAATTTCTTTGACCAAGAAGTCTGTAAGAGGTAACTCATTTCAGAACTGGAGGCTTCATTTGGTGACAAGAGATGTTCAGCTGGGACACATAATATACACGTAAAAACGCAATACAGAGACAGTGTATTTGGAAGTGTGGACCACAACCAGATATTTCATTTTTCTTTGCAAGTCATTTTAGCTCCTTAAGTAAATGGTTGTAATGCAAATAGATCACACTCTAAAACCACTGAGGAAGCCTCAGCATGGAGGTGAGGGCCTTTGTGTTTCTAATTAACCTAATTTTGTGAAGCTTAAAAAGTATATTGTACAGAGAGAGGGACTAATGGACTGACTGGGCTCATTCCAAGCTCTGAATGTATCTATTGCATAGAGCTTCCCAGATGATGCCATGATCAATTAATGACCCAAAACTGTACAAACACCATGAACTCTTTCAGCTTCTCCAGTAAATGTTTCCCCAGTTTTACCCACTTGGAAAAATGGTACACTATAAAACCATAGAATCATTTCCTTTCTCTCGAATGTTATTCTATGGAAAAAACAAACAAACAAAAAAACAGGAACTGGATTCCAAGATCATCAGACTCTTCTTGTGTGCGGATCTTTTGTCCTACGACGTCTTTCTAGGATGCTCTTAGAAACAGTTTTGCCATTTGATTCTCTCCCTTCTTGGTTTAAAGACACGTTCTATAGGTCAGTGAGGTACTTGCACTTATCATATCTATGTAAGATTCTGCTTCGTGGGACAAAGGACACCTGTTGCTTCATAAAAATGTTTTAATACAATTCTAGTTGAATTGTGATTTAAATATTGTGAGGTTACTAGCAACCTACCATTCTTTCTAAGAATGAATAATTGTGCCTGCCGTTTTAAAAGTAGCTAGATGAAAACTCATATACGAAAGCACATATTTTGCAAAATTATGATTTGATGAGATATAAATTATTTATATATTATAAAAGAACAAAAATCATGACAGAACAGAATACTTGACTAAAATGTATATCTACACCTTAAGGAACAACATATTTTATGTACTTCTTTTTACTTTATGATATTTAATAGAGAAGGTCTCAAGAATTTGTAAAATTTCATGTATAAAAGTTTAGAAATAGAGTTTTTCTCCCTCTTTAATCATCAGGTAACATCTACAGTTGTAATTTAAGTATTACGTAAATGGTTATACAGTATAGATTTTCATGCAAAAGTTAGGCATACTTGCTCAATTTTCATTTTTGTAATGAGAAATATAGTCATGAAAATCTAGAACCAAGACAAAACTTAGCATGCCTTCAAGTGTGTGTGTGTGTGTGTGTGTGTGTGTGTGTGTGTATCTTTGTAAGTGTGTGTATCTCTGGGTATGTTTTCTGTGTGTGTATCTATCTCTGTGTATCTGCATATGTGTATTTATCTATGTGTCTATACCTTTATGTATTTGTCTCTATGTATATCTCTGTGTGTGCATATCTGTATGTGTTTATGTATCTGTATATGTGCATCTATCTCTGTGTGTATTTGGGTGTGTGTGTGTGTTTGTGTGCGTGTGTTAGAAGGGGGTCAAATAAGGAAGAGAAAGGGAATGAGAGAGAGAGAGAGAAGAGAAGCAAAGAGAAGAGACGAGAAGAAAAGTGATGAGACCATCCTTTTGGCTATCTCAACATCTCTCTGTCCTAAGAGATGAAATCTAAGGTGACCCAACTAAAAGATACAGATCTCACATCCAAGTCTTTTACCTTGCCATTTATTCTTCTGTCCCTTTACATTGTTACTACCTTAGAAACATATTAGCTGATTCTTAACTATGAAAACCTTTGAATTTATGTTTCAAATATCTGGAAATTCTCTACAAGAGTCCATTCTCTTTG